ATCCTTGAAAAGAAAACGGCTATTTTAGTTCCTACATGCATAGTCATATGGATAATGAAATGAATGTTAACATCTAAATAACAAGAACATTTTGGCAGATAACTTTAACTATAATGAAAGTATGTAATAAAAAACAATGATAAAGATAATCTGTAATCTATAGCGATTTCTAGCAATTATTATTTATTGTCTCATTCTAAATTAACAACACACTAATAACTATTCGTTACAACGGATTATAATAAATCAACATTTTCTATAATTAACACTTAAATAATTAGGAAATAATTTATCATAAACATGAATCAAAAAAGAATCACATGCATTGTCTAAAAACGAGTGACAGGAAAAGCTTGGAAACAAATTTAAGTACAATGTCTATTAAGTTACAATGAGGTACATTAACCCTAGATAAGTCACATACTGTTATTATAAAAGCGGAAATGCCAGGGAATAATGAGAAGACAAATTTTAATAGAAATATATCCAAGAAGTAAATGTCAAAAATGAACAATGTACCTACTCGTATTACGTAAAGACCTAAAAAAATTTGAACTGGATAAACGTGTAGATAATTGTCAGAAATTAAGAACAAGCATTCTAATTTGTGTTTAAATGAAAATTTTGTACTTATAGATGTTGAAGAAGCTATCCAAAAAGTAACCCTAAGTTTATTAGTAACTAAATCAATATGCGAGTTTTTTATATTGATGCAATATAAAAAATGTGTCTAGTTTAGCACGTAAGTACTGTGAACATATTTTATTTTCAGCATATTTTGAAAAAATTTTTTAACATATGTGCACATTTTTCTATGCTAAATATATGTACGATTAAGATCATCTTATATACTAGTTTTTAACATGGTAATTTTTTACATGGTAGTTTTTACATAGTAGTTTTACATGGTAGTTTGACAAGGTAGTTTTACATAGCAGTTTATTATTATTATTATTATTATAGTTCCAAAATTAAATCCAAAAATGAGCTACATGCAAATGTAAGTTCAAACATTGTTCAGGTGGTAAATTATGAATTGTGAAAACATGCCTGTCTATATTGTTTTTGTAAATATCGACAATTTGAGAATCTATAATTTCTTGGGGCAGGTTGTTTCAGACTTCGAAGATTCTGTTACTCGGAAAATGTTGTCTCGTTCTTGTTTTGAAGTTTTCTTTCTGTAGTTTTAGCGAATGTCCACGAAGTCGGGCGTCAGTATTTAGAGGAAAAGCTTGATTAAGGTCGCCAAAGTTATCTTTTATTATTCGAAACGACCAAATTAGGTGACCGCGGAAACGTCTCTGTTGGAATGTTATAAGATTTCCCATTTCTAACCTTTCCTCGTATGACGGTCTAATGCGGCCAAAGGTAAGCCGAGTGGCGCGGCGTTAACACATTCCAGCATTTGTTGGTCGCGTACAAGGTCTGGATACCACACGGGTCCTGAGTATTCTAAGATAGGACGGACGTAGCATTTATAAAGTCTGCACAACGTTTCAAACGACAGTTTTGAAAATGTTTTTTGAATTAGGAATAATCTGGAATTTGCGCGTTTGCACACATTAGCGATATGATCACTCCACGATAATTAGAATTCACTGTAACACCTAGATCGTTGTACGAGGACACGCTATTTAATGCATGCATGTTGATTCAATATGGCAACTCCGGATTAATTTAACCAATATGGAGTACAACATACTATTTGTTTATATTTAGGGGCAAGAGCCAGTCGCATCACCATGAATGGAGGTTGTTAAGGTCATTTTGAAGTGCCTCATGGTCGTGAAGAGGGTTGGCAAATATTTTTGTATCATCGGCATAAAAACATATTGAGGATAAAACTAGCGCTTTAAGGTCGCTTACGTAAGCAGTCAACAACAAAGGGCCGAGAACCAAGCCCTGTGGGACAACACTTGAGACTGGTCTTTCTAAAGAGAACTCGCTACCAATTCTTACTTTAAAAGATCTGTCGGTTAGAAAATTTAATATCCAATTATGAAGGTTTCCGCGGATGCTTAGATGTTCCAGTTTATGAAGTAGTCGACGTTTTGGGACTCTGTCAAAAGCCTTAGAAAAATCTAGATAAATGACATCGATAGGCTTTTTATCGTCAATGGATTTCGTCCAATTATTAACACAATTGGTAAGAGTCGATCTTCCTTTAATGAAGCCGTGTTGTTGAGATATAACATTTTCATGGATTAAAAAGAAAGACGTTTTTTCGGCAACAATTGATTCCATAACCTTGTAAATAACCGGTAGGAGGCTGATCGGGCGGTAGTTGTAAGGATCAAGTTTATTGCCTTTTTTAAAGATCGGAGTAACAGATGCAGATTTCCAGGAGGAGGGAAGAGAACCTAGTGTGAAAGATGTATTCATTATTATAGAAAGAGGGTATCAAAGAACGCCTGCGCATTTTTTTAAGAAAACAGGTGTCAAGCCGTCAAGGCCAGGGGATGAGTTAGCTTTAATTCCTAGTAAATTATTTTTGATTTGGGTTTCAGTAAAAAATATATTTTCAAGTGAAGCTAAATTACGTGTAGTGATAATATGGGGCAGTACATCGTTTGGTGGCTCGATGGTGTAGGCATTGGAGAAAGAAAGCAATAAGATCTCAGCTGTTTCGAAATTGGAGGAGCATAAACTTCCATCAGTCTTTTGAAGAAAAGCAGTGGCCACTTTGGATAAGAGAGAAGAACGGATGTATTTAAAGATTTGTTTAGTATTGTCACTGTTAGCGATTGATTCTTCGTAAGATTGTCTTGTAGAAGACAGTTGCCGCTTGAGCTGATTGGAAAATCTTCTGTGGCAGATAAACTTCTCCTTAGATTGCGTTTATGTTTTATCATTTCTAGTAGTTCCCAAGTGATCCAGGGTTTTAATTTGTTGCTATAAACTCTACGTTTAATAGTGTTTTCTGAGAGAATTTGTGTAGTGATGTTGTGAAATTTGTTCCACATAGATGAACAATCATTAGAGGCCAGCAGTAAGTTATCCCAATCAGTAATTGCAAGCGAATGATCAACTTTAGTGAAGTCAATGATTTCTAATGTTGAGAAATGTTCTTCCGATTTAAAAGAGGGTAGATTGAATTGTACGTGTGGCGTTATTACTGCGTGATCGGATTTTCCAACAGGAGTACTAACCTCTAGGGAGGAAAATATTTGTGTGTCATTTGTAAAGAGAAGATCGAGTGTTTAAGGATCATTGATTCGGAAGCGTGTTGGTTCAAGAATCAGTTGAGATAGGTTGGAAGTTTGAACAAAGTTCATAAAAAGATTTTGGGAGTTGTTGCGGTCGAGAACATTCACAATGGGCCAGGAAATATTAGGAAAATTGAAGTCTCCATAGTTGTTTTACATAGCAGTTTTACATAATAATTTACCACAGCAGTTTTACCTAGTAATTTTACATAGTAGCGAATAGTCTGATTTAAGCTCAGCCATTTGGTAATGGTGTGTATAGAAACAAAACTCTTGCAGCTATCAAAAAACCTGTTTCCAAAATTTGTGCATTTGGTTCTTTCCCGCTCTTATTTTAATAATGTTGCCAAACCCAATGAATTTTATTAAGAATGTATCAGTAAGGAAAAGGCATTAACACCTGTTTACTAATAAAATGGAATTAGTTACCTTGAAAGTCCAGTTTATTATTAATAAAAGACTAAGATAGACATTAATGAACTTTCATTTCAAATCATTCGCATGCATGTTCACTTTATCCTCTAAAAAACCATTAAATATCGAGAATATTATTTGAAATATTCGATTGTGTAAATGGAACAGTCATGCCCACTTGTTTGAAATTATTATCGGAACTCATAGATTAGCGAAAAAATTAGTGTGTGCTTGAACATTGTGATGCAACGGACTCGTAATGAACAGGTTGTTGAGAACGAAATATGTGTGAGAATGTTATTGGAATGTTTAATAAATGTATATTATGTATTATTATAATTAATTTATCGAGTAGAAAGGATCAAATCTCAAATCGAATTGATAATACCCATAATATGAGAAAATCGGAATAGTATATTACATTATGAGTGTAGAAAGTGGCATCTTTCATACGAGTATAAAACATCGTATAAGTGATGTACAATATTTTTTATACGAGGTTCAATTAAAATGTGACTGGTTCTAGATTTGTTTTTATAGCCTTATTGAATAATTTTTAGGGTTTTCCGGGTGGTGTTTTGTATAAATTAAAAACATTGCGATTCCATTTAAAAACACTTTCATAGGATAAAAAGGTATAATAATATTAGGTAAAAAAATATTAGAATAGATTAAATACAATTAATTAGAATAGATATGGCTAGGTGGGAGCTCAACTGGTCTTCTAAAGCAAAATAAAGTTTTGAAGAAAAAGCAAGAAATATTTACATTTATATCAAAGATAAAATGGCAGAATGAGGTTTTCCTTATGTTAAAGTGATAATGTAACATATATCTTGAGATATAAATAACCCTTTAGCACTGATACATTGATACTAGCCGAGTATAAACATGTCATTATTTTTTTTTCAACCCCCCTTAACTTACCATTTTATTCAGATTTTTTTTTTAAATCAATAGGCTTTGTCCAATTATAGAGCTTGGTATTTGATATTTTTCGTTTTTGAGGTAGGATTTTTTTTAATATTTCAACCCCCCTTAAGCCCCCATTTCTATTCAGAAACGATCTCCTTATAGGGCTTCATTTTTACTAATAATTTCATGTTTATATTGCTTTTCGTTTTTGATTCTTTTTTTTTTTAAATATAAAAAGACCTTTTACAGATCCTCAGATCAACATGGATTCATAAAAGCTAAGCCCAAGTTCACAAATTTTCACAGTTCATATTAGAGACCTTAGATAGAAGGAGTCAAGTAGATATACCGACTTCTCTAAAGCTTTCGATATAATTGTCCATGTTATTTTACTTTGGAAGCTTTTCTCCATAAGTTTAAGCACTCAGCTGGAAGCACTAAAAATACAGAAAAGTCTACAAAGAAATGGATGACAAAGTAGAGGAGCTATCTGGAGAACGGGCTTTATCGGTTCTAGTCGAAGCAAAACTGACTAGACATCAATATGAGATAATAAGAAGTGAAGACAAAAGGAGATTTTTATCATACAAAAAGATTCAAGATGCTAAGAAATATTTTTATCCAGACAGTAAAGCTATAATAATTATAGAGATGAATGCTAAAGTAAACTTACTTGACCACACCGTTAAGAGTATTGTTAAACTCAAAATGATGTTTTGCAGTCCTTAACAGAAAAAGAACTTCAGTGTTTAACATTGGTATTTAAATGGGGGTGTGATGAAAGCTCGAGGTTCACCCAGTACAAACAAAAATTTAAAAGCAGTGATGATTCAGATGCCAGATGGCATTTTTGACATCCCTTGTGCCTATTCAACTTTTATCTAGCAAGTCAAATAAGGTAGTTTGACAGTTTATACATGAGACTACCGAAATTAATCTGACAGAGAAGACATACATGGAGAATCAAATTAAACTCCTACAACTGTTAATTTAGGTACTATGGAAGTCTACATATCCCATAGTGATGGCAAAGTGTGCAATGCTGCAACCTCCACAACATCTACTCAGAAATGCTGCATTTGTGAAGAGACCTCCAAAAATGTTGACACAATTGATAATATGTCGAAGAATGATATTAATATAAGTTCGCTGTCTTTTGGACTATCCATGCTTGGATAAGATTTTTTGAATATCTGCTACACATGGCATACGAACTGTCTATAAAGCAATGGCAGGCTAGAGTCGAAGAAAATAAAAAGATCGTGTCAAAGAGAAGAACAAAATTCAAGAGGATTTTAAGTCCAAAATGGGCTTAATAGTGGATCGTCCTAAACCTGGTTTTGGCAGTAGCAACGATTAAAATAGTGCTCGTCGTTTTTTGGAAAATGTTTCACATTCGTCCGAAATTATAGGAATAGATGAAAATACAGTATTGTCCGAAATAAACAGTATTGAACTTTTAATTTTTTTTTAGTTATTTAAGAAATACATATTATTGACACTTTAGTGCAGAAATCGATAAATGAAAATGTGCTTCATCTGAAAACCATACACTCTTCAAAAACTCAGGAGTTTCATACTGTAACGCGAGAATTCTGCTGCACAATATTTCTCTCTACTAGAATAATCCCGAGGATGTAATTGTTGATGTACCTACATCACATACTAAAATGCACTAAGCTCCTTTAGGATTCTTTGGCAGGAAGTTATTTTTATACCAAGTTGCAACGCTGCCTTGTCTAGCTGACTTTCGGAATTTCTAAGATTTGCTCAAAAACGTTCATCATTATTGTTATTGTTAATTGTACTGGGACACCCCGAGTTTTCTTTTCGTTGGCACAATACATTACACGTATTTCTAAACTTTTCAATAACCATTAAAATTACGGCATTACTTGGGATATCTTTCCTAAATCCTTGTCAATTGATCACACACGTATCGCAGACTTGCACCATTACGTCGGCCGATTCCGTATGAGTGAAAATAATACTCTACCAAAAACACTTTCTCATGTGTACTTAACACCATTTTTAACTATTAGACCCTACTAATTAATTGTTTTAGGTTTACTTGACAGATCTATACTAGCTAACTTGGGTATGACAGCGGGCGCAAAGAGATACCGCAAACTTAGTTTCAGTACTGTTTATTCGGGCAATACTGTATTATTAAACGTTTAAAAATTGCTTTGCAAACAATATCTAGTGGATTTAATATTAATCTAGAAAGTTTAAAAAATTAGGCAATATCTACTGCAAAGTTTTTAGTTGAAAACAATCCATGGTACAATATGCCGACTACAGTACATAAGGTTCTTATTCATTCAAGTGATATTATAAAAAGATTTTTAATTCCAATTGGCCAGGTAAGCGAAGAAGCTCAAGAAACATTAAATAAGGCTGTAAAAGGATATAGGGAAGGATTTGCACGTAAATGCCCCAGAAAGCAGACTTTGGAAGACATTTTTAATAAACTTCTTATATGTTCAGATCCAGTTATATCAACTATCAGAAAACTTCCTAAACGAAAGTCAAAATCTTTCGAAAAAGACGTTTTAGATTTGCTAATAGCTCCAGAAGTGGCAATTCAAGCGACGATTTCTTGAAAGATTCTGAAGATGCTTAACTTGTTTTATTGTAATGTTATAATAAATGTGTTTTTAATGTGCAAAAATAAACATTTATGTAGCTATAGTAAAATTCGTCTTTTAATCGATTAAATTTTCCTTGATTTGAGAATTTTAAAGTAAAGAATTACTTAAAATAATTAAATCTACATTACATTTTTTCCGTTTTATCATTTCAATCAACAAAAAGAAACATTTTTTTTTTCAATTTAAACTTTTAGCGCAGTTAATTTAAAACACCCTGTACAATTTTTAAAAATCATGCAAAAGTGTTTTTCTTAATATTTAAACAATATAAATGTAGTCACCAATAAAGATATATTTCTTGTTTATTTTTATATTCTTTGTTTTCACCTGATAATTTGAAATTGTAAAATGTTTAAAAATAATTCAAAAGATTAGGTTTTGGCCAGATTTTTTAAATCTTGCCACACTGTGCAGCGTTTTAAATAGATCATCTGTGCGCGGATTATCAGTGGTTGGCGGCCAGAGGTTGGCGCATGAGCCCTGGTTACTTATATTAAAAAATTTACAAAAAAAAAAGAATAATTTCAATAAAATTTATATATATATATATATATATATATATATATATATATATATATATATATATATATATATATATAGATTTATAGTTGTCACATACGAGACCCATAAATACATGTGCAAGATACTATTAGAGGCCCGGTTTTCACATGCGAGGCCCGAAAACGGGCCTCGCAGGTCAAACACGTGTAAATAGAGCTATTTTTCATCACCCAACCCCCCAAAACCACAATCTCATTTTTTTTTTTGGACTCATATGTGATGTGGATATCTCCTCTTATACGGTTTTTAGTTCATTATATTTCTTACTAGGGTGCACTCCGAGCGTTTTGTATATAATTTCTATTGCCAATGCGAGGCTCTCGTATATCCGTTAAATGTATTTATTCATTGTCAATTCCGAGTCCCTTAAATATGGCAACGTTGTTCGTGTGCTGAGGCCCTACTAGTTTCTCATAGCAGGTACATAAAATGTTGATGAATAGGATTTAATATCCCAGGCATCAGCTGTTGGAACCCAAAATAAATTTAACCATTACTTTTTATTGTAAGACTTTTAAGATAATTTAAAATTTTCTAGCTTTGTACAGAACACTAATATTTTAATATTTTTAATGTCTCAAATCTTGAGTAACGTTTAAATAAGTTTCAAAAATGGATCTACTTAAATAGATACACAATTTTCTTTGTTTTGTAAATAGGGTTTTCAATAAATAACAAACTAAACCTCCAAGTTGATCCCATTACAAATAATTATCAAAAAAATAAAAACAGATAAAAATTATAATTGTTACCGTTGTTATAATTGTGTACCAAGGCCGTAAAGTTGATCTTTTTTAACTGAATTGGAAATTTGCGTCCCTGGCCAAGCTGGTTAGACCAAAAATGATCATACGGCCGAGGTGCATACAATATTTTTTTAGGCGACCGTTTTATGTCGTGTTTTTTGCTTGCTATTTGTAGTTTGGTACAGGAGAGGGGTGAACAACATAAATATTTGTTCCGGTGGTATGAGCTCTCGTCTAACTTTTTCTGGGAATGAAATAATTTGCTTCTAGTCGTCTATAACAATAAATAAATCCTTTGCGCCGTCTAGTTTTGCTATTATCGATGTAAGAAAATATCTAAACTTACACCAAAAGTACCAAAACTCGACGATAAAAATGCTTAAAAAGGGTTTCAGAAGCGGCGCAAGGCGTGGGCGACGTGGGCCACCGTCTAGGCGTCGCGGCCTGAAGGGTCTCGCGCCTCAAAAGTTTAATGCAGCTGTCTTTAACTTATGAAAAATATTTATTCTCACATATGACCTATTTATATGTAAGCAAAAATTATATAGAAGAATGTTAACTTTCAAACACTCTCTATTTTAACTTTAATATAAAAAACAACGAACAACGAATTATTCTAAATAAGAAAGAATGTCAAATTCTAAACATTATCAAAATCTGTTTTTTGTTCCAATATATGTATATCTCTGGAAGTGGCGCCGTAGTGATATAACAAATAGGTAATATCGTTTTTTTACACCCACATAGATATTAGCTTATCTACGCTCAGATTACAAGACGAAAAAGTATGCTATTGCGTTCAACTAAACGAATATATTTCATATCCATTCTAGGTAGTGAGAAGACTGCAAAAAAATTAAATCCACCAATAATAGTTCATATTTTAGACACCCAACCATTATTATTTTAAATAAGTGACAACTCTGTCAAACTAATTGCCATTATATTTTTTGGTTATTAAGATTAAATATATATTAAAATGAAAGTTATTTTTGTGCAGAAACGATAAATAATATCATTTTTAGTATTATTTGGTTAACATTTTGAAAATTTTTATCAATCTTTATGAAACTAATTTAATTAAGAGTATTAAAACTAAAATCACAAAAGTGGCCGTGGAGGTGTGAGCAGAGCATTTGCTTTTCACGCGAATAGCTCAAGTTTGAATTCGTGCTCGAGACAATTTTTTTTATTTTATTTTAATTTATAAATTAATAAAATTCATTAATTATTTTAAAATTAATTATTTTGGCTTAACAACCTAAAATAATTTTTTAAATTTGTAGATTTTTGTTAGTGGGTCGTAGAAAAAATATACTGTACGACTCAAGTTGATTGTCCATATCTACTCTTGTTGCACAAACTACAATTTTTACTAAGTAGGTATGCTACATTGGTAAAATCCTGTAAATGGCCATATATTCGCTTATTTTGTTTTCTGTTTGTATAAACAGATTTTGATGTGAGAATCCACTGATTGAAAGGGATAAATATTAAATAAAAAGTAAACCGGTCCATTGAACTAATATAAGTAAAAAAAAATGGTTTTATGGTTAGAACCTTTAAAAGTTTTGCTCGTTAAAGAGAAATATTTAAACTATTACGCACATATAGTGTGTCAATTCAAAACTGCTTTTTGGCAATCGTTCTATGCAAGAATATTAAAAATAAACTACTTTATTTATAAAACAATATAATTATATTAAAAACTAAAAATCGAATTATTATATTTAACAAAACGTTCCGATTTGGTTTACTTTTTTTTATTCTCCTCTAATATTCGATTCTAGAGGGGAAAAGTAAATCATTTAAAAGGTGCGTCTTTTGCGTTTTTGTTTGCGCTCTTTCTCTTTCTTTACTTTTCGCTTTTTTTTTCTTTTCTCTTTCTTTCCT